GTGCGGGCCGGGTGCGGGGCGGGTGCGGGGCGGGTGCTGGTGGCCGCATTCCCTCCTCCTCTGGGGTCGATCTCGAGTCTGCGCGAACGCCGCCTTCTCAGGCGTCACCTGGCCGTGGTGTGGATGGTCGTCACCCGTCCGCCTCGCTCGGGCATCTTCCCTCCGTCTCTGGTCTTCCCTGCAGCTGTCCCCACCGAGTTCTGACGCACCGTATGATTTACCGGCGCTGCGGTTTGTTGCTGCTCCTGCAGGTAGGATGTCAGCCGCCAGGTGGTCTGCGGTGTTTTGTTGGCTCCGAGCGTCTGCCTGCTGTCTCTTTCCTTCAGCTGCGTGTCTCTGCGTGGCACTTGCCGAACTGCCCCGTAGAGAGCTGTGCGGAAGGCGGAATTTTCCAGAACGTGCCGCTCTCTTCCCTTTTTCTTGGCCCAGGCCGTCCTGTAGGCCTGGGGTCTGCGGCTGTGGTACCCCTGCCTCGGTGATCAGCGCACTGTGAATTCGCAGCCACGCGTCCTGTCGCTGTGGGCGGGCTGCGGGGTTTACCTCTGCGACAGTGCAGGGCTCCCTCTGAGCATGGTCCAGGGGACGCTCATCGGTTGTTGGGTGTTCGGCTGGTGGCCACACTTGCTCACTGACCAGTGGTTTCTCTTCTGATGGCATCAGCGATCGCTCTTTCGATACCAGTGGTGGTAGAGGTAAACAGGGGAGTGCACCCCCCCACTGAGGAGTCGGGGTGCAGGACCGAGGGCGTGCGAGGTCCCCGGGCGGCCTCACCCTCTGCCGTGTGCAGCCCCCTGGGGGGGATGGCCCGGGGCGCACGCCATCTAAACATGTGCACGTCCAGGCCGCGGTGGGGACGGTGAAGGAGCCCGCCCAGGAGAAGGAGGCCCTGCCGTTGTCACACGGCCGCCGTGGCATCACTGTCCGTGCGGTGACACCCCCAGCCTCCAGACCCACCGCCCGTGCCTTCACGCGGGGTCAGGACCCGGCTGCCCATCGAACGGCTTTCTTTAGTTGGTGGTGTTTCCGGCGACACGTCCACAAACTAAGCTCACCAAATGGTTCACTAGTGATAAGAGAGAACTTCGTTATTTTTTGGATTATTAAAAAAAAAACAACACAATTTCTATTTAGGCTTCAGTCATTCCTTTAATTCTGGCAAAACCTCAAGATGTTTTTCAGGAAATTTTGTATAGAGCACCATACCTGTGTGTGTGTGCGTGTGTGCGTGTGTGTGTGTGTGTGCGTGTGCGTGTGTGCGTGTGTGCGCACGCGTGTGGAGGGCATGGGATTCTTAAGATAATCGACCAGTGTGTACGTGACAAACCATTTATGTGGCTGGTGACGTGCTTTTCCTTCACCACTGTCCTTTTTGCTGTTTAAACTTTGTCACATGTGAAGTAAAAGCGAAAGTTGAGAATGAATGAAAGATGAGGAACGGCCCCCCCCCAACGGCTGTGTCTGACGCCCAGAGCTGCGGCCCGGCATTTCACAGGCTGTGACGGACATGAACGAGACCGTAGGGTTCTGTCAGCACCGACCGTGATGTTACCTGTTTTAGCATCAGTGTGGAAGAGCCGTGCCTTCTGGGAAACGTCCAATTGGTCAGAAAGCACATTATTTGCAAACGCTGATACTTTAGCTGGTTTTGGTGACTGTCTCCTCGGGCGCACGCGACATCTTACCTGTTGGGGGCGCTGCTGAAGCTGAGGTGGGCTGGCTGTGACAGTGTCACCGGGGTAGATCGGGGACGGAAACACGGATTCCCTTCATTGATGACAAGCGCATCCATCTCGGGGGCAGCAGTGACCTGCAGAGGACAGACGGTTTTGCTCAGCCGTGACCTTTTGTCGTCGCTGACCTGGGCAGAGCGTAGCCCTCATCCTGGTGTCCGGTATTTTCTGTTCCCGTCAAGTTGCATCCCGCGTGTGGTAATGACCTCTTTCGGAGAGTTTGAAAACAAGTAAATAGAGCGAACGCGCTCTGATTTCTTTTTTCCTCTGTCGGTTGCCCTCAGGTGATTGTTCCCGTAGGATGCTCTGAGAGCAGGGGGTCCGTGCTCCTGAGGATGGAGGGCGGTCTGCCGGTTTCCAGCATGCAAGAGCCTGCGTCCCGCCCGCAGAAGCCGCGGAGCTCAGCTAACGGGAATGGAGATCTCGATTCAGGTACGATTCTGCTTTCCGGGTCCCTCCGGCCTTGCGACGTGTTCGCCAACATCTTCCTGAAAACGTTCGGGAAACCGGGGGACGGCGTGTGTTCCTGTGTCTCCCCCGCGGCCCCTTCCTGGGACTCGCGATCGGATTTACAGGCACGTAGCGGCCCCAAAGTCACGCGGAGCCTGGGTCGGGATTGATACCACCCGCGTACCAGACAGCGGGCTGGTGACGGCGAGGTGACAGATGGCTTCGGAATCTCGCGGGCTTAACACAGCACGTGTTTATGAATCACGGGCACTGTGGTGGGTCGGACAGAGCCTGACAGCCCCTTCCAGTGCCACCATCTGAGCGTGCCGCCCGCTTCAGGCTCTGTCCCCGCCGGGGGAAGCAGAGCTGCCGCGTCGTGAGGGAGAGTTGGATGCTCTCACTCGGAAGGGACAGGTGCCATTCTTGCTCAGAGTGTCCTGACCAGAACCGGTCACCCATGTCCACCACCGCAGAGGAGGCGGGGGAGTCGAGTTCTCTGCCGTGTGCCCAGAAAGCAGGGACAGCAGGGTGTGCCCCAGTGAAGATGCCCCTTACCTAGACCCTCGCCGATAGCCCGAGCGCCGCTTCAGAACAACGCGGGATGCGGGAGACATTTAGGTCGTTTCGATGCGTGGCCCAGTCTTTCCCCCTTTCAGAAATCCAAAACAAATCAACCGAACCGATCTTCGATTGGATTTTGATATCTAACCAATGACCTTATAAATGCATCTTTTTCTAAATACTTTCACGCCGAAGAGCTTATTTTTAAAAGACGTATTTTAAGGATTGCGTTATTAGGTGACAGCCAATTAAATCAGGATCATTTAGCTCAGAGGCATAAACACGTGCTCTGGTGAATTCACACACACGAAAAATGTTGGGTCATTAATCCAGTGGGAGATTGGACCATACATAGTCTAAGGAAAGTGTGGAATTTCTTTTCACGTTTTGATGAGACCTGTCAGTGACGGTGACAGATTGCTCGATGTCACTGAAATTTATGAGATTGCGTTTCTCAAATTATGTCTTTACCTGGGAAAAATCTGGAAACCCCTGAAATAACTGCCTGAAAGATATTAGCGTCTGTCTCAAAATCGGCTCATTTTCCCCTCAAGTAGGCGTGAGAAAATTTCTGAAAGCAGAGCTGAATCGTTGTCTCCCAGTGGAAATGTGGAAATTCTTTGTCTGAGACAGCATAGTCCCACAGACTGGGAGATTCACCCTAATTATTCTACTTTTATTTAAGTACGAATACGCCCATAAAAAAAGTCCTCCTTCCGTCGGCTGAGGGAGGTTATGTCTGTCCCTTCTAGAGTGCCTGACCTTGCCCCGTGTTTTTGTTGCGTGCACGTCTGACGTCTGTGACTGCATTTTCAGTGGTATGTTTTCGAAACGGTTTAAAAGCCAACTAACTGCGTGTCCACTTCTTATTGTCAGGCAGCTGCAGTAATCTGTCTAGCCGAAGTGGATTCTGAAACTCATTAATAACCGGAAGATTATTTGCACCGAACCTCCTTGCGGGGGACCCCGCGCAGGGGGAAGCGTGAGCACCAGCATCCGCTGTGGCTGGCTGGGCCGTGCCATGCCAAGGGCCCATCGCGTGCCCACTTCTTGGTTGGGTCTTTGCTCCCAGGTGGTGGGACGCCCGGGTCACCCACGGTCCTTGATAGAGCTGGTAGTTCCAAATAGCTCTAAATTATCTTAACATTGTTCGGGTATTGGCCGTGACTTCTCTCTCTCTCTCTCTCTCTCTCTCTCTGGCTAATCTGTCCTTTCTCCTTGGAATTTCCATGTACACTCGTGTGGTGGGGAGACTTTTAGATGGCGCCACAAAGACAGACTTCCGAAGAGCAAACCGGTTTGAGGCAGGATCTGTGGCGAGCCGAGGCGGCTTCTAGAAACTCACGCCCACTTTTGAACACTTGGTTAGGAACGTGCCCGCGTGCGAGCCTCCGGGCGCTTCTTTCCTGCCCCGCCTAGGTCCCTTCTAACCGGTTAATACATCAGACGTTTTCCATCTGGCATCGGTCTGGCGGGTGTCCGGTTCTGGCACCGACGGGGACGTGCTTAGGGCCAGATGGTGTCTCGGGGCCGAGGCTCTTTTCCCGAAGCTTCTCGGATGCGAGGTCCACGTCGGGCGGGCGGGAGAAGGCGGACCAGCATTCTGCAGCTGGCTGGAAATCCACTCCCAGGCGAGGGGCGGCGGCTGCTTGGTCCTGTGTCCATGGCAGGCGCTCTCCGGTACATGACAAGTGTCGTGTCCTTTCGTCATTCCCAGTGAAACAGCAGGTGAGGACTGGCTGGCACCGTCACTCGACTCCGTGTTGGAGCTGGGGTTTCAGCTCGGGCACCCCGAGGCTCGGAACCTCGTGCCGAAGCACCTCCCAGGGTCTGCCCTCCGTTCAGGGACGAGCCACCCGGGTACTTACGTGTGAGCACACACACCCCCAATACACACCCCCCGCACACGCACACACGGGGCTCAGCCACGGCTCATTCTTTCTTGCCCTCTCCTCCACTTGTCCCCTGTCCTCTGTCCCCATGTGTTCCGTGACACGTGACTGCATCTCCCTGACTGGTGAATACATGTAAGTGCCCTCAGCTCCTCTCGGACCAAATCTCGGGGTCCAAGGGTGGACGTCTAGCCCGTTGGCTCCTGGTGTTTTGATCCCGTGTCCTCGGTTCCGCCCACCCCGAGCTGCTGTGACCTTCGCACTGACGATCTGTCCCTCTAAATGAAAACTCAAGGGGACAAGTAAAACAAGGACCCCAAGTCTCATGAACAGTTTTCTCATTTTTGGTTTCTCCTCTTTTCCGAAGGAAAGTTCAGCTAATAGTGGGGGCTGAGAACCGACACCCGCGTCCCATGGGTGACATGAGACCGTGTAACATGACTCCTGGGGGCACGGAGGACGCCCCGGGGAGGAGTACAGGCGGACAGACAGCAGGCCTCCCCTCGGACAGAGCGGACAGAGACACCGGGAGGGACGTGGGCCGGAACTGGACATCTGGAGCTCGGGGCTCCCCGGTGGCCGTGACACAAGCAAGCCCAACACCGTGCCGACACGGTGATCAATGGGTCCTGGACAGCATTTCTCCAGGCCGGCTAAATGGAACGTCCTGATGAGGTCTGCAGATAAGGTGCTGGTGCACATAGGGGTTGGACAAGCCTGAGTAAAGAGAAATTTTCCCGGAAACGCGGGCGTGATTTCTAGGCATTTATTTTTGGTGTTATGTTATATCGGCCAGAGTCCACGGCCTCCTCCGTTCGTGAAGGGAAGGGCTCAATGTTCGCGTCAGAAAAATTTACCTCTTGCTCTTCGTGCCGGAGTCTAGTTCCGTGTGACCCCATTATTCCCTCTCTCTCTGTTAGACATTTTTGGGGAACAGTCATTGCCCATTTTCTGCTCATTTTCTTTTCTTCTGGAAAGTCCCTCTGGCCTCCTGGATAGGTGGGACAGCCATGAGGACCTCCGTTCAGGTGACTGTCCCCTCCTCCCTGGTTCAGCCCTGCGGCTGCGAACTCAGACCTCGGATAGGCGTGGGGCAGTTTTTGCTGACTCCTTAGAACGGGGCGTCTGTTTAAGGCGCTCACAATGCACCCATTTTCTAAACCGTGCGATAGTGCCAGTGGACTGCCAGCCGAGCACAGCAAAGACGTAACGTCTTCTTCCTCGTCGAAATAAAACAGCTAGCACAAAATAAAAGATCTTAGCGCTATAAGATTTTATTCATTCTGAACCTGCCAGTAATTGGGTAGTGCTTATGGGCCTTGACATTTAGCCTTGCAAAGTTACCCTTATTTCAGATCGTAAAATTGTACAAGCCAGGGTCTGATTACTTAAGAAAAGGTGTCTGTTCGTTCCATTTTTCACTGTAAAGTTGCTCGCATCCGGCTTTTGGTAAAGCATTCTTTTTCTATTTATTAGGAACTATTCCAGTCACATAAATAGCTTTTTGTTTTCCCAAACCGATGGCCACTAATGAACGTGCCCGTTTCCTTTTAAACTGTGAAATTTTCTTAGTTGCTTTTCATAGTCTGTTTTCATTACATCATGAGGCAGTGCCTCCGACTGGTTCATTTGCAGAGGCGGCAGGTTGTCGGAGCTTCGTTGATAAAATGTTTATGGGTTTAAGAGGTTTACGAATCAGCAGTAAATATTTGCTCTGGGTTTATGAGACCTCCACTCGTAAACATCGCGTGTGTTTATCTATCGCGCATTGAGATGTCTTTAGAGCATAAGCCGCTTTGGAGAATCAGGGGGCACGCAGTGGAGGAAGTCTTTATAATAAATTACAGACTCGAAAAGGCTGGATCGTGAGACACCCCACGTTCCGTATGGGGTCTCATTGCTAAAACTGCACACTTGAAGTTACCAGCACCGGGCACAAAGGTTTTTGAAATATTTTTAATCCCATTCAAGGTCTGACTTTTGGGGTGCTTATTGAATAACTCTCTTAGACCACAGAGGGTGACGGTTTTCCTGAGCTCCGTTCTCAGTGGCACACTTGGGCATCGCGAAGGCTCCTTTTGCTCTCGTGAGTCACTTGTGCGTGAGCGAGTGGATACGCACGTGAGCACGGAAGCATCTCCCGCCTATTGTCCTGGGAGCGGAGACTGGAAACGTAGCTCGCGATGAATTCAAGCTTGGCGGGGACCGCATTTCTGGTGAGATGCTAAGCGCCTGGCTGAGAATATTATGGAGACGGAAGAGCTGTGATGAACAGTCTCCGGCGGAAGGTGAGAAGTCAGGCCATGCTCCCAGTCTCCCCGCGGCTTCGGAGAGAGAGACTCGTGGGATCATTTCCGGTCACGGTGATGCGAGCCGTCAAGACCTTCCAGTCGGAGCCGCAGCGGGCGCTGAAAGTGGCTGACGGGGGCCGTTGTTCACCGTTGTCACCCTCAGAGCACGTTTGCCCAGCATCTCCTGTCCTCACAGGCCCGGGGCTGAGTGTTGTGCCCACGTCTTTGTCCTGGTTCTCTCTGTCTTTACAAGCAGGTCCCAGGGTCTCTACCCATTCTGGTCTCCTTTCTGAAAGTGGCCGTCGCCTGCTGTCTTCTTGTCCAGATGCTCTAAGGCTGATCAATTCCGAGAGACAGAGAAGCCGGCCTTGGAGTGTCCTGGTGGAGGGGCGATGGTGCTGAGTGGAGCTGTCGGAAGCGTGATGCAGGCAGAGGGACACGGAACAGTGTCCCGTGAGAGTTCCAGCCTCGATGTCGGAGAGCCCGTGTCGGACTCCTGCCTCCGTGGCTGGACAGTTGTGTGAACGCGAGGACTCTCGCCTTTGGGGGCTCCCATCATCTCTTCTGTGAAATGGGGTGGCGGTATCCATCTGCCAGGGTCCCTGGACGGAGTAACGAGGTGACACATGTGCAGCAGTCAGCAGAGAGCTGACACCCCAATGTGACATGGCTCTCATGACCTTGCCTGATGGCATGTGGTCACTTTGTAGGGCCATAAGGGCCTGACCAGGCTGGAGCTGGCAGGGCCTGCAGGAGGCATGGGTTGAGCTGAGGCTGGACAGGTAGGGTGCAAGGGACGAGCGACAAGTTAGCTACCAACAGGTACTGTCCCAAGTCACCTTGACAAGTGAATAGTTCGGCTGCGATGCCTCTGGCTAGTGGCTCAGAAAGCAAGCTCGATAATTGATGTCCGGGGCTGTTGGTGGGAAGAGAATTGTGGGCGGAGCTGTCGGGCGACCCCAGATGTGTTTTCCAGAACGTGACTGCTTTCTCTCGGGGGATGCCTCGCTGCATCTCGGTGGCTGGAGACCGCCTGACATCCTGAGCTGGTGGCTGCAGGACCGTGGCTTTTTTTCAGGGAGCACGTTTCTGTTGGAAGGGCGTAAGTCCTCGGGTGAAACAGAACGTTGGGACAGATACAAGGGGAAAGTTTTCTCGTCAGATGGCGTCTTAGCTTCCTGGACATTTGAGTATAAACCACTCGATGGGAGTAAAATTCGAGGAGGCAGTTTGAAGCAGCTCTGATTCAGAAGACAAAATTGCAGGGAACTGCCTTTCATGTGAGCACATTCTGCCTTTCCAAAAGTTATCCTCGTGTATTGAGTTCTGAGAATGTACAGTGTCACAAAACAATTGCTTTTCCTGCTTCCGATGAAAAAGTCTCTAGTCAGAACAAAGTCGTGACAGCCTCTGAGAACAAGGCTTGCTTTCTTGGCTCCCTCCCGCCAGGGTGGGCCACCTCTGCAGGAAGAGCAGAGCTGGTTCTTGGCCAGCGAAGGGGGCTTTGCTGGCACAAGATACACGGCTGGACATTGTTGAGCATTATTACAAGAACAGAAAATCTAAGCTTCTGAAGCTCTTACTTACCTGCACGTTTGGACAGTTCTGGCCGTGTCTGTCCTGTGTTTACAGCAGACTTGCAAATAGGTTAAGGAACTGTTTACAGCCTATTAGTTCTTTCCGTTCGAAGCTGTGGCACAACATTTGCGTTATCTGTACTGTACTTATAATGAGTTACTCGGCTTTTCGATTATACGGATTGTACCTTATGCACAGTTTTGGGATGTTTTGGGAATCACTTGATTTCCTTCAAGGCCAAAATAGGGAGCATTTTAAGAGTCGTGTTGTGCATATGACTAGGTCTCCGTGACCCTCATTAAGTGGAGAAACACATGTCCTGTTGGTTTCTACTGGTGTGCCTTGCCCCGAGAGCTTCGTCACAGGAGAAGGCTGGACTGGGGACCCCGGATGGGGTGGGCATCGAGTCTGTCTGACAGTCGGTCAGTTTTTGTTGCTAACTTGCCGAGTGGCCTCACGCACCTGAGCAGTTCTTCTGGGCGTCAGTCTCTTCCCTCCGGAAATGACGTCACTGCCTTGTAAACTCACTGAGGGCACCAGCGATCAATGCTCTCATTCTATAAGCTCCAGCTGTAGTAGGTGGCCAGGGGACACGAGACTTACCTGGTTCTCCAGTGGTTTCCTTTACTTTGTCCCCAAACCTCCCCCAAAGCGTGTAATGTCCACCGTGGCTAGATCCAGACCGAGGCGGTACACCCACACGCAGCAAATGTGCTGTGACCCCAACCTCCTTTCATTTGCCTGAGAACGCTTGGTTTTACCCTTGACTTTGTCAGGGTCCCCAAGCCGACTTTGTTGGGTGCTTCCTTTCGTTAGTCACTAACATCAGCAAACCAAAGCTGTGACGAGAAGTCACTGACGTCCTTCCGAATCTCCCTGAGTTCGTTTTGTCTCGCTGTAAGATTTCCCGGTCTTCGTCCGAGGCTAGCGTGTTTCCCGTTCTTCCCCGTAAGACTGATGTTCTGGTTTTTGTTTGTTTTCGGTCTTTTGACAGAAGAGGGTTCGAGCGTGGAGGAAATCGGCTTTAACTGGGGAGAGTACTTGGAAGAAACTGGGGCCAGTGCGGCTCCTCACGCATCGTTCAGACACGTACGTATGGACATCTCTCCTCTCTGCTCTGCACGGGAGGTTGGGGTTCGGGGAGATGCAGCAGGAAGAGGCCAGACCCATCGGCAGACGGGAAGGAGAAGGGAAGGGAAATTCAGCCGAGACTTCTTAGAAATAGAGGCGAGATGGGGACGTTGGTTTGCTTTCATCAGATGGCCGCGGGCTCTCGCGGCTTACCCCGTCTGACGCAGGGCTGTGCCCTGGGTGGGGGGCTCTGTGGGTGAGCGATGCCGTGCAGCTTTAATCCCCTTCTGCACCTCGAAAAACCAGATTTGACAGGTGTGGCCCTTGTTCTTGGGGCGCATGGCCTGGCACAGGTAAGGTGGATGGGAAGTAAAAGCCAGCAAAGTAGGTAAGTCGGTGTCATGTGCGGTGTCTTCTCAGGAGGTGGAGTGGCTGTATATTTTTATTCTGAATTGACATTTTTATTTCGAAAGGACGCATCAAAGTTTTATAGCCTTTTGTGGGCAGATGAGTCAAATTAGAGGAAATACCACAAATATTCGGGAAACATTTGGATCAAGCCAAAAAAAATCATTCTTATAATGATTTCTTTGAACAATGCCAATAGCATGCCCAGCAGAGGGCAAGTCCCAGGAAATAAAAAATTGAGTTTTTATCAGATTTTTTTCTTCTACGTGAGATTTTTGGCAATATAGCATCAGCAAGGAAAAGACTAAATTTCCAGGACCTAAGTTTTTCAGCATTAAGTGTTGCTTTACTGGAAATGAAAATTTAATTCTGAGAAACGTTGTTTTTACCGAGCTACCCAGGGCAAAGATTTAGCCTGAGTATCGTAAGCAAATCGGGGAATTGTCTCAACCTGTCCTTGCTTTTGGCTCTCTCGCTGAATGAGGGAGCCGGAAATTTGATTCTTTATTTTAATGAAACATTTTTTTTTTTTTTAAAGCGAGGCATACCTTGATTGACATCACAGATTGCCAGGATCTTGTCAGCTTACAATCCCTTATTTATTTTATTTATTTTTTTAGTTTTTTACGCCTACAGCACCTGGTCTTTCTAGGTGGTCTCCCATCCAAGTACTAACCAGGCCCGACCCTGCTTAGCTTCTGAGATCAGACGGGATCGGGCTCGTTCAGGGTCGCATGGCCGTAGACGTAATGCAAGATTTTATTCTTTTTAGGGGCCAAGTGTTCTTTTGAAAAGGAATTTAAGACCTTATTCAATTGCACGGCATTATAAAAATACATTGCGGTCCCTATTGTCTTTTCACACTGATGTGTGTAATGTAATTGCTAGTTTATTATGAATGCGGTTGTGGCCATTTAATATTAAAAGGTAACAGAACTAACTGCAGCCCACCTGCAAACAGCGTGCGTACGTCCCGCAAAACCCTATTAAGGTTCTGCAGTGACTTGATTAGATTCCTTGAGGAGGTTTAGGGAAGAGAGATCGACAGCTTTTCCATCCCTTCTTTACCGATAAGTCATCGATCTCTCTCCACATGGAGCCACTCCTGTTCTCTTTCATCCAGCCAGGGCTTCACACCCTTTCAGTCCCAGCAGAGTGTCCTTCAGGAAGCAGAGTCCCCAGGCCTGTGCACCCGGTGTGAAGGACAAACACCTCTGGCCCCATGGCCGAGCTGTTTGCGATGCTGTCGTCATTCACGCAGCCGCAGGCGTTAGCCATCTAGCGCTGGGACGACCCCAGGCTGCAAAGCTTTCTTTGGAAGAGGGCGGGTAAATGCTAACAGACTGTAATCCTTGGTTAATGAAAAAGACAGGCGTCCCAAGGCTGTGCCAGCCGTGCTGTAGCCACCGGCCACCTGGGGCCATCGAGCGCTGGCAAGTGTGCCGTCTAAATCGGGATGTTTGCTGTCAGGGTAGGATGCACACCAGCTTTCCGAGGCTTCGTCGGAAAGAAGAATGTGCAATATCTCATTAATGCATCTTTTATTGATCACATGTTGCAGGGATGACATTTGGGATTTGCCGGGTTACATATGAAACACACTTAATGTTAAAGTTAACTTCTTCCGCTTTATCTCGCCGATGTGGCCGCGGGGAAATTGACCGCCACGTGGGAGGCTCACAGCGGGAGCACAGGGCTGTTCCAGGGTGACGGAATACGGTCCCCAGCTGCTGGGTTCTGAACGGCTGTCATAGCCTCCTGGATGTGTGCGTCTGGTATGATGACGGTTTCCTTGTGTTTCTGGTTCCTAAAGGTTGAAATCAGCATCCAGAGCAACTTCCAGCCAGGGATGAAGTTGGAGGTGGCCAATAAGAACAACCCGGACACCTACTGGGTGGCCACCGTCATCACCACCTGCGGGCAGCTGCTGCTTCTGCGCTACTGTGGCTATGGCGAGGACCGCCGGGCGGACTTCTGGTGTGACGTGGTGATAGCCGACTTGCACCCTGTGGGGTGGTGCACGCAAAACAACAAGGCGCTGATGCCCCCGGACGGTAGGTTCCAGGGGCCCCGGCTCGGAGCCTTTGATTTACAGGCCGACCTCACCCCCGATGCTTGGAGGGGAGCCTCGTCGCGATCTCGTCGCTGATTTGGTGGGAAGGCCTGGCGCGTTCCACGGCCTCCGAGTTTCATTAGCTTGACGGCGCCTGAGAGAGGGGAGCCAGGTGCATTTCCAGGTGTCAGCTGCCCCTGACAGCTGGCCAGCTGTGCCTTTAGGGGAGAAAGCTCTAGAGCCCGATCCTCAGGTGGGCGGCCGAAGGGAGGCCGAGGGCTGAGGTCTTCTTTGACTGTTGGCGTTGGATTCTGTCGCTTTTCTTTTGTTTAAGACTTAACGTTTTGAAGAGCGCGGGGGGAGGCGTCTGGAGCAGGTCCGAGTTTTAATCTGTCTTATCGTGGGGACACTGCCAGAGCGTGGAGCGCGTAGAACACCGAACACATGAGGAGACGTGACATCGCTCTTGAGGGGCTCGTCAGCCCCGGAAAGATAAGATCCAGTTAGTTGCTGGAAAACGGTGGTTCTCGGCGGGGGCAGTTTTACCCGCTGGGGACGCGTGGCAAGCTCTGGAAGTATTTTCGGCTGTGAGAGGGGTGGAAGGCGAAGCTCCTGGCATCTGGAGAGAGGAGGCCCGGATGTGGCTAGACATCTTACCATGCAGGGGACAGCCCCCCAACGAAGGCTTCCAGGGCTCAGGCTGCCAGCAGTGAGAAACCGTGCCGTGAACACGGGCAGCACGTTACACACGCGTGACGGGAACTCGCCTGGTCCCCTGTGCCGGCGGATGCTGGAACGTTCTGTGACGTGACGGCAGTGGCAGTAATACCCGAAAGCTTTGATGCCGATTCTCAGGCACGTGTAACATCCTTTTCGTACCCGTCTGCCGCTTTTAGTTTTGAATGGCTGTTATTTTTATTTCGAAGCCACACGTAGTGTTGTAGAGCTGCATTCCGAGGCTCATCGTGTCCACCATAGTCACGGTCGCTTCCACCTTGGGAAGCACTTGGGTTTCGTCTGCTTTTTTTGAGTTCCGATATGTCGTTTGCTCTGACGGGTGGGAATGGTCGATGGTGTTTTACTCCCCCTCGTCAGCGAACGTCTCGGCCCTGTATCGTCTCAGGAGAGAGCGGGAAAGGGCCTTTCTTCTTTCCTTCTCGCTCCAGATCTTCGCCCCTGCTCTCCCTTCCCGCTGGCACTTTATCTGTTGCTTCCTTGGGCAGCCGAGGTCAAATCTTATCCTCGTTCTCAAGGCCCGTGCGCCCTGAAGGCTGGTCGTGGTTGCAGCTGTGATTTTTCAGAATGAGATCTAATTCTTAGTCAAGGCGGAACACCGGTCCGTCTGGCTTTGACGTATTATGACAGCCACCGAGGTGAGAAGGTATGATGACGTAATGCACAATTATTTGATTTCTCTGTGATTTCCGACCGGTCATAAAATCGGCCAGTCTCGATGGGTGGATCGTATGGATGGAATGTTGGGGAAACAGCGGTTCATCTTCCCGTCAGATACAGACTTAGGGACCCCACCGGAGAGGGACACGGAAGGGGACCGACAGGCTGGTCCCGACTCCTGGCTGCGGCCTTGCCTGTCACTGTCCTTGCTCCTCTCATTCGTGACTCTAAAAGTTTGATGCTTCAGTAGCTTAAGCCTTTGGGACGGACGTAAGATGGTTTCACCTTATAGAGTCGTCAGTGAAGAGAGAAGTTCCAGGGTGTGGAGTTAAAGCTCATGGGTTCGTTTGGTAAAAATCTGTGTGTTTGCTTGAGAGAGAGGACGCAGTTAGTCCGTTCCTTCTCCCTCCGATAAAAAATGTGGCGGTCGTCACAGTTTCAGAAATGCCGTCACATTTGTGTCGTACCGACTTTGTGCTATTAGGCAAGACACAGACCCACGTGAAATGACTCACTGAAAATGAAAAAAGGGAAAACCTCGTAAAGTGGGAAGCCATGAATGTGACTGAAAGATTGGCGGGCCCTTCAGACGGTGACAAGTTATGCCGATTTTGAGGATTTCTTTATCGCTCGCTTTAAAGAACTTTACAGACATTTAGTAGGTGATCGATATGACTTGGAAAACTTGAACGCAGAGAACAGAGTCAGGAAATAGCAGGCTCGTGGGGCAAGAGGTTTTCTTGATTGCCGGAGTACGGGGTCATTATTGCTTTGTTCCAGTGGGAATCCTAGAATCTGTTTTTGAATGAGGATTGTTGTTTGTGTGGTTTTCTGGCTTAGAGAGCTAATATTGTCGCAAAGTTTGCATCTTTGGTCAGTCTTTGTGGTCATTAAACTTGAAAGGCATCACAGTATATATATA